AACATGCCGCCCGCCTTGAAGCGTCAGCTTCAACTTCTGCGAGCAAAGCTGAGTTGTTCGAGGTTCGTTCCGCCGTGGCGAAGGACCAGTAATTACAACGCAAAAAACAAAAGAGAAAAAAGAAACCGAATGAGAACGGAACGCACGCGACTAAATGTAGCGCATGAAATTTATACTGAGCTGACGCACGCAACTTAAACTATCGTACGCAATGCGAATTAGCCGAGTCAGATTCGCCTTTGGGTGTTGCATCGCAGTCAATCGGAAGGACGCATACCTTTCCGATGGGCCGGGTGAATTGAGACGTCGCTATTTTAACGGAGACAACGCGCGTTAGACAATCCGGACTAGGGTGACACTGGATCACCCGCCCCAGTTCCCATTTACACGGGGGAAGAGTCGGGTTGCGTAACAGGACAAGGCTGCCTACACGAATCGAAGATTGAGCTCGCCGCCACTTGCCTCTCTGATACAACGTGTTTACATAGTCGTTGTACCAGAGTCGCCAGAATCTCTCAGTGATTTGTCGAAGGAGTTGCCACCTCGAGAGTCGATTTTCGCAGAGTTCGAGCACCGTTGGTTCAGGCGGCAGTTTCAGTGCTGAGCCGACCAAGAAATGGCCTGGTGTGAGGCTGTCGCAATCGTCAATGTTGTCCGAAAGAGGGGCGATCGGACACGAATTGAGGCAAGCTTCGATTTCGCACAACAGCGTTGTAAATTCCTCGAATGTGAGCGTGCGGTCGCCGAGAACCCGTCGTAAATAATGCTTGACACCCCAGCCTCCCAAATTCCGCCGAAATGCGGAGCGGAGGGTGGGATAAAATGCCATTCTATTTCGTCGGAAGCTATTCGATTCTGAAATCCCGGGTAACGCAGCTCGGTATGCCAAGTGCAGCTCCCGATGAGCGCCTCTGAAAGTTGTACCGTTATCGGAATAAACCGAGCGCGGGAGTCCGCGCCGCGCGCAAAATCGAGCGAACGCATTATGAAAGACTGCGGTGGAGTAGTCCGACACGAGTTCGAGGTGAACGGCGCGAGACGCTAGGCATACGAAGAGAGCGATATATGCCTTGATCGATTTTCCGCTGCCAGCTGACGCTCGCACAGCGACGGACCCTGCGTAATCGACACCGCAATGTAGAAAACCGTGTGACGGAGCAGTCACACGAACGGACGGCAAGCTGCCCATCAGCTGGGTCGGTACGGCGGCGCGTTCGGGCGCGCATATGATACATTGATGAATGATTTTTTTGCAATGATACGAGCGTGGAGAACCCAATACTTGCGACGAAGTGTGCCTAACATGAACTGCAATCCCAAATGCAGCGCGCGCAAATGGATGTGTCTCACGAGTAACGTGACGAGAGGATGTGCCGCGAGCAGGATGAGGTGACGAGTTGCTAACGGGCTGGTAGCACGCTGCAGGCGTCCGCGAACCCGCAACAGTCCACGATCATCGACAAACGGCTCCAGCGAGAGAAGCGAGTGTTTCGAGGAGAGAGATCTCGCGGATCTCATGCTTAAACAGCTCGGATTGTATTTGTTTGAGCCAAAAGAATCGGGCGGCTTCGCACTCAATCGCGGAGAGCGACGGTCCAAGCGCTCCGCTGCTCTTTGTTGCGACGGCGGAGCGTCGACAATTTGAAATGAATCTGAGTACGTACGCCGTGACGCGAATTAACCTCGACCACGATGAGAATTTTGCCGCGAGATCCCACGGTTCCGATTTGCAGTTAATGAGAAGTGAGTGCTTTTTAAGTTCGAGAGGAGCGTCAGCAGACGACTCCTCGGAACGAGTCGGCCAGTGGTCTTGAGGGAGCCTCAGCCATGAGGGCCCATGCCACCATAACAGGTGAGACACGAGTTCCTCGCCGAGGAGTCCGCGAGACGTGCAGTCTGCCGGGTTGTCGGCGGTTGCGACATGACGCCATTCGACGCCTGGCAGTCGACTCTGCACTTCCGCTACTCGATTTGCGACGAATGTCTTCCATTTAGACGGATGCTGTCGGAGCCACGCGAGAACTATGGTAAAGTCGGACTAGCAAACACATGAAACCCGGCCGATATAAAAAACAGAGCGGACGAATTCAAGGAGGCGCGCGAGCAGAGTTGCTCTCAGCAATTCCAAGCGGGGAACACTATTACATTTGAGCGGGGCGACACGAGACTTGTCTTGAAGCAGGGTGATGGACACGTCACCGGACGCGTTCGCGATTCTAACGTATACTACGGCGGCGTACGCCACGTTTGAGGCGTCGGCGAAGCCGTGCAGTTCAACACGCGCGTCGCACATAAACCTAATGGATCGTATAGGCGCGCGATGGCCGAAAGAATCGAGCGCTTCGTCGCGGGCGCTTCGCCGCGGATCGAAACGTTGATTTGGAACGCGTCAGACTTAGGACTCCACCCGATTCCGAGAATTTTTATTTGTTCTGAATCTGACAGAGATTGGCTGCAGGCAACGCCATGGTCAGCTGCGTCAAGGTCTGTCATGAGGTCTGTCGCGGAATTACTGGCCCATTTTCGCAACTCGAATCCGCCGAGTTGAAAGAGCTCAATCAGCTGATCGCGAGCGCTTGAGCGTCATCGTGACCGAATTAAACATCGTCTACATAAATGTGATGGAGTAACACGGACGCGGCCAACGGGAAACGCGTCCCTTCGTCGAGCGATAATTGCCGCAGGACGCGGAGAGCGAGAAAAAGCGCGCACGCCGTTCCGTAGGTTACGGTGAGGAGTTGATACTTCTCGATCGAGTCATCGATCGATTCTTTCCACAGAATTCGCTGGTAGTCGATATCGCATGAGTCTACTAAAATTTGTCGATACATTTTCGCGATGTAAGCGGTATAGACGAACCTGAATTGTCGCCATCGCATTATGACGGCAGGCAACTCGGCTTGCAATTTCGGTAAGCAAGTGATCGTTGAGACTCGAGTCATTTGACGTTACGCTCGACGCATTAAACACAACCCGCAAATGCGAGGTGACGCTTGACTCGCGATAAACTGGATGATGAGGGAGATAGACGACCGGTGAGAGAGAGCGAGACTCGCGAGGAACATGGCGCGAGTGACCGAGCGTCTCATATTCCGTTAAGAATGCCCGATACTCTTGACGCGTGGCAGGCTGCGATTGCAATCGCCGAACGAGAGAATTGAGCTGTTTTTCTGCGCGAACGCGAGAATCGCCGATAGCGATTGGAGGACCCGTTTTAAACGGGAGACGTACTATGTATCGTCCCGTTTCAGAGCGCGAGTACGTGTCGAGAAAGTGTTTTTCGCAGATTGCGTCCTCGG